TCTTTAGCCTGCGGCATATCACAAGGCTCTATTCTCGGTCCCTTACTGTTCATAATATTCGTAAACGATGTGCATAATCTTAACCTGTCAAGTGATATAATACTATATACTGACGACACATGTTTATTTTTATTTGGCAAGGACATCGAGAAAAATCATTAAACAAGCACAGCAAGATTTGGATACACTCTCTTGATTCCAAGAAAATTTTCTTTCTGTTAATAGATCTAAAACCAGTTACATTGTATTCAGTGTTAAACAAAAAAAAAAAGCCGAAAATCGCTTAACTCTCCTGATAAACAACGAACCCTTAACTAAAGTTAATACAGAAAAGTATCTTCGACTCCACCTAGATAAACACTTAACGTTGCAGCCGCACCTAGACAAATTAAGATCTAAGCTATCTTCTATCATGGGTACGCTTCAAGGTAATATTCACTGTTTGCCAAAATCAGTGAGATATATTATATACAACTCCATGCTAAAACCTCATCTAGACTACCTAATAGAGGTGTGGCTAAAACAAATCCAAAGCAAATCAAAACATGTCAAAACAAAATAATCAAACTACTATTCCATTATAACTATCTAACTCCCACCGAAAAATTTACAAAGAAACTCAATTAATGACACTATTGCAGATTTATTATTTAATATAATACGTGCATATTAGTACATAAATTATTAAATAAAGATATACACTCTAAAATAACGTTTACAAAGAACAACACAAAAACGTATTACTAGACGACAAAATAACATTTGCCTAAGACAACTTCGAACTAACTTCGGAAGAACAAATGTATTAAACAAAGGAGCAGAGTCATATAATAAATTACCTAATAACATAAAAGAGATCCAGTCCTTTATTTTATACAAAAAAACATTGAAGCACCACATCTTCAAAGATTTTTCTCGATTTTAAATACCAATAACTTATTTAAAAGCTAATGTTATTTCTTTAATTAATTTGATTTTACCAATTATTTAAAATATAACCAATTACATAAAAATACCATCTAAATTGCTTGCAAATATGAACAATGTGTTTTTTTATATAGTATAGGGTGACAAACGAGCACACAGTCCACCTGATGGTAAGTGGTTGCTGCTACAAATCAAAATGCAGATGCGTTATCACCCGTGAGGACTGAGATGGAATGCCTCGTTTACAGTAAAAAGGCTCTCCGGTTCTCTACACTCACCATACGAAACACAGCAGCATTAAGCTACTATTTGACGCCGGTATTCTGTGAGAGCGTGGTCCTTCCCCGGTCGAGCCGACCCATTCGTGCTACAACTATACTACTAATATAACTGCTGCATGACTCTACCACGTGAATTCTGTTTAAGAAATAAAAGTCTTAAACTTTTTAAATAAATATGAATATAAGACGAGGCTACAATAATCATTTTTAGAATCTGACGGAAAAATTAAAATATATGCATATTACCTTGAAAACAACTAACAAGGAATGAAGAAGGAAACAGCAATTATATTCTAGAGAGCTTAGCCTAGAATAATATGAAAACTGGTACTCCACGACGCTACTTAACTGTGTATTTTACTGATTTTTCGGGACCGATACGACTTTACGACCAAGAAAAGAGACTACTCCTTAAAAGTAAGCAACGCGCCTGTAAATCCTCCAATGTTGCAAATTATGGGCGACGGTGATTACTTACCATCAGGTAAGCCTATATACAAAATATAATATACTTCTATATTATATTTAATTTATTTAAATGAAAAGTTTTAACGGTATATACAATATGCAAAATTCAAACGCACAACGTGTCGGTTCGTAGCCCGTCGAGCTTCCGGGTGAAGCTTTCATTTTAAACCTCAGGCTCTCAGGCGTGGATTTTACACGAAAACTGGATTAAATAACATTGTATTCTCGACTACCTTAAACAAGTCTTTTAAGTGGAATACAACTTTGGTTCAAAAAAATTCTAGTTAAAATTTCCTATTGTGGACAGGCAACCGCCGTAACCACATTACGTCCAATAAAAGTGGCTCTCTAACTTTTTCTTTGAAGTTGATTACAAAGCAACGGTTAAAAAACATCACTTGCTTACTTGCATAGTGCGTGATGGTACGTGGATACTGTGACCCATAGACATTCACATATATGCTTAATTAAGAATCAAAATTAAATGCTTTGTTACTACTGATGACTAGATAGAATGCCTCTTTCCAGTAAAAAAAGGTCCCCAGTACTCTACATTCACCATACACAACGTTGTGCTACTATTTTATGTTGGTATTCTTCGTGATATTTTCTCTGTCGGGCCGTGCCACAACTATAGTATCGTTTACTTTACTACTATCTACATCTATGGTATCGTTAGCTTTATACTATCACACACACGATTGAACACCGTCCAACATTACTGTCGAACGGTGTTCCATAAATAGAAGACCTGTTGCTCAGTGTATATACTTTCGTGAGGGCTACACTACACCTCGTACCGAGAAAATAAAATAAAAAATAACCTAATACAGTTTTTATATGGCCGTGGAAAGAAAAGGGGAGATCTCCCGCCGGGCAAGGTGTTCTGCCCGGGGAGCGGCCAACACTCCGTGTGATAGTTCGGAGATGTTCTATATATGCTGTTTATGATTCGGAATGTTGATAGCGTGATTTAAGCTTCGGTGTGTTTCGCTTGCGGCGCGACGACAACGCCGCCTATATATATATATATATATATATATATATATATAATATCTCTTTAAAATATAGGTATAAATTACATAAATCCTGATAATTAAATTCTATGGGTAGGTTGGGTATCCATATCCCCTGTTGTGAGCCTTATTCTCTGATTATAAATGTTATACATAAATACTATGAGACTTAATAATATAAATTTGTAATAGGTCTGTGTAAATTTGTGACTAAGTTACGGAACACATAATTATAAATAAAAAGTGTTAATAGTATGTGTGAGAGTTTGGTGGAAAAAAATATCGTGGGTTAGCATTTAGCATATAGTAGTATATTGCATATAGCATGAACAATTAGGATTTTGGAAAACCTAATAACCGATTAATTTTTAAGGTTGTTCGGATGCGATAAAATACGGAATGAGTTTTAATGTATATTTAGTGAGTGAAGTTATAATTTGTCAATAATTGTATAGGAATATTGTCCATTATATTGACTATGTATGTACCCGAGCCATGTATATTATGATAGTTATGGTACAATTAAAGAATGATTAAAATGAGATAAAATATCATAAATGTAAAGAAGCGAATGAAATGATATTGGTTATTGTCATGTATGTACGCGAGCCGTGTTCACGAGAGAAATGACACAAATATTTAATAAATATCAAAATGCCATGGAGTAAAATGAAGAATAAGTAATGGTTAACTAATAATGAAATAAATATAGTAGTAAATATAAGGTTAAAAATAATTAAACGCATTATATCCTGAAATATGAAAAATATAAAAGTAAAAGAGTATTGTACGGACTAGATAGGATCATTTAAGAGATTAATGTGACTAAATGACATAATAGCTCAGTTTCTAAGTTTAAATGCAATACAAATATATTTTGGATTTTTAATTGAAATATATAAACGTATTTAGACCTTTATCACATAAACTGTGATGAAATTATGTAGAAGATTCTGACCTTAACATTAATAAATGACAGGGGATATGGATACCCAACCTACCCATAGAATTTAATCATCAGGATTTATGTAATTTATACTATTTGTGACAAGTTACGTCAACGAAACACACCGAAGCTTAAATCACGCTATCAACATTCCGAATCATAAACGGCATATCGTACCTTGAGAAGAACAAAAGCATAAGTGGTCTTATGTCGATTTGTTTGTTTTTACACCATCAAAAAGAGCAACGCAAATTACATACGCTCAATTTTTTTCAAATTTTTCTTATTAGTATTAAGGAATTATTGATAAAATTTGTAATCTGTACATTTTTGCCTTTGGAAGATTTATGGATTACGCAGAAAATAAATAAATAACCTACACGTAAATAGCTTAACAACTTTTTAAATCTGAAGAAATATAATTATTAATTTCATTAAACGTTAGAAAGTCTTTTTGTCGCAAAATTTTAAATGTTGTTATTCGTGTAAACATTTTAACATAAATTTTCCTTGTTCAAAATTATTGTTCCCCACAAATTATCACGATTACCAATAAATAAGTTACAAACTTATTTACAAATAAAAGCTGTTTCATTGATTAAGCAATGTGATTGTCTTAATTTTAAGTGTAATGTCGATTACGGCTTTGTTCCTCTAAAAATATAAATGTCGTATTCACGTAAGCTTGGATACTTAAGAATTGTTTGAAAGGATTCCGAGCTAAGCGCGAATACGTGCATGAGTGCGTACCTGAAACCTGCATGTCAGAGAAATAAAAAAATATTTCAAAGACATTTCGAGTTCGCCAACACGCATTGGGGCAGCGCGGCGGACACTTCCTTGCCTTAAAACTCCCTCAAAAATAAGGGGAGGCCTATGCCCAGGAGTGAGACGTATATAGGTTGTAACTTTAACTTTAACTTTAACTTTTTTTAACAAAATATCACATTTATTATATGAATAGGATTTGGGCTAGTTTACTGATCTAGACAAACAACATTGCCTTTATCGTCGCATTACATTGTTTGCTCTTGAATTGTCAAATATTGATTATTATATTAATATCAGTTGCAGAAAAACCTAGCAAAAAGGAGACTTTAAAAATGTTTATGAAAATCCTGTACCATCAACAAGTTGTGAATCTCGAGATACAGCCATGGTAGTCTACACGGATAATAATTCAAGTGATATGAAAGAACCTTATTCTCCAGTTGTATCTGAATATTTACCGATCATCAAAAGTTGTTCCTCAAGTCTAGTAGACAACTATGTTCTCCTTTGCCTTCGTCGCTGATTCATGATATGACAAATAGTCCTCAAAATGATTCAGAAAGTACCTTCAAATTTGAAACCCCTCTAAAAATGCATAGTATTGTAGATTTTATTGCATCCCCTTTAATTATCTACACAAATATGAGCATTATTGACAACTCAAAAGAATTAGCTGATGATGGTGATATAATATCCCAAGTTAATTATTATAATAGAATCGAAGGAGTTAAACCATTATTGCCCTCAATAGATATTTCGTCAACTTCTATTAAAGAAAATTCTCTCAATTTGAAGAATTTACCACAAAACGCAGAAATCCCATTATATTCATCTGTTACAAATACTGATTCAACTGTCACTGATATTATATGTAATATTACAGATACAAATAATTTTGATACAGCTGAAGCCACTAAGTCTCAACCTTTGCGCAAATAAATGAAGGACATTTTAAGCCTAGGAAAAATAAATCAAACACTAGTGAATGGATATCTGTGAAGTGTAAGAAAGATAAAAATAAAGGTAAGGCTTACGAAGGTAAAAAAAAACTAAACAAACTTGTGTAGCAAAAGCTATGAAAGATCCGTGTCCATGTAAAATGAAGCGTTTTGAAAAATTTTCTGATGAAGTACGAAAGAAAATTATTGACTTGTTCTGGTAAATAGGTAACCATGAAAAGCAGTGGTATTTCATTTTAAATAATACTGAATCAACAAATCCAAAGGTTATAAAAGTGGATAGAATACGAGATCGTACTAATACTTTTATTTACTTAATGATTTCTTATATTTACGCGAACACTATACATTGATTAAAACTACTTTTACGTTTTTTTTTTATAAAGGGTGCGCCAAACCGACGAAAAAAAAAAAAATTTACTTTTTGCCTTTGAATAATGACAGTGCATTAAAAACTAAGGTTTGTAAAACAATTTTTATAAATAGATTAGGAACTAAAAAAAGATCGAGTCATTTATACTGCCATGAATAAGCTTTCTAATAATGAACAAATTTTAAAACTAGGAGGTAAGCATACGAACCGACCACGTAAAATTCAAGCTAATACTTTAGAGAGTGTAGTACAGCATATTAAGTCCTTTTCCTTGTATAGAGTCACATTATTTAAGAGGAAAATCTACTAGACAATACTTGTCCGAAAATTTTAACATTTCAAAGATGTATAGGCTCTATAAAGATTGGATGTCTGAAACTGAACATTAGTCAGTATCTAAATACACAAATATTTAATACTAAATTTAATCTTTCTTTTCATCGACCGAAGAAAAATATGTGTCAAATTTGCAGTGTATATGATATTGCTGATAACGAAGGTAAGATAAAATTACAGAGTAACTATGACAATCATTTAAAAAATAAATCAACTGTTAGAAAAATAAAAGATCAGGAAAAGTATATATCTGATCCTAGTATTACAACAGTTGCAGTTTTTGATTTAGAAAAAGTTCAAAACATTCCTCAATCTAATGTAGGAGTTTTTCATTATAAAAGAAAATACCCTGTGTATAATTTCATGGTTTTTTATTTATTAGCACGGTAAAGTCGTTGTTACGTATGGCATGCGCAAATTGCAAAGAGAGGTGCAAATGAAATTGCAAGTTGCTTATACTTTATAGAAAAAGGAGCTAAACGGGGTATAAACAGATTTTTTCTATTTTGATAATTGTTCAAGTCAAAACCGTAATAGATTTTTTTATGTACATGTTCGCTTCACAAAAACTTTACACAGAAATTGTGCACCAGTTTTTGTAAACAGGCCATACGCAGAATGAAGGTGATGTTATGCATTCCTCAACTGAAAAAAAAGAAACATAGAATTATTTATACACCTGGTCAAGTGTACGAAGTTATAACTAATTCTAAGTCAATCAATCAAACATTTACGATTTTAAATCTAAATCAACAGTAAATAGAAATTGGGCATGTGACGTAGACGGAAGAAAAATTTTGCTGTCGCACTTCAAATAAATAAAAGCAGATCCTAATTATCTGGAAAATTGTTCTATAAATGTAAATTTGAACAAGAGAATTACTACGTGCTGGACATTTGTAATCGTTCCTCGTCACGTAAACGTAAATGGAATGGAACACCAGCAGATATTGAGCTTAAACCCGCGTATAATGGTCCGTTACCTATCTCAAAAGCTCTACATAAAGATTTAAATAGTTTGTGTGAATTAAATGCTATACCGGCTTATTACCAAAGTTTCTTTAAAAACCTAACCGCTGAAAATGACATACTGCAAGACAGGTCCGATGAGGATTAATATTGTTTTGTAATCTTAACTAATTAGTTTTTCAATAGATTGTATTTTGCTTATCCACGTCAGAAGCTGCTTTTTAGTTTTATACGTATAAGTTTTTACTTTTTATAAGCTGTTTTCATATCAGCGGTGCCTAAATAATTGTGTGATATTTTATTAAATTTCATAGGTTTTAGTTTTGCTACGCTTGTCGGATGCTGTTTTTAATTCTTATGGGTATAAATGGTTTTCATGTCAGCAGTATCCAAATATTAAATTGTAATTTAATTATAAAACTCCATAGGTTTTCATTTTGTTATGCACGTCAGATGCTGTTTTTAGTTTTTATAAGCATAAGTTGTTACCACAAGGAAAATTCCTAAATAATTATGTACAATTAATAAATATTTTTTAATCCTATGATCTCATTTCATACTTAAGATAACTTTAATGTTTTAATTTAATTTTAGGTAAAAGATTTTTTTATTACTGTTTTTAATAAAATTTAAGTTTATATTGCCAATTAAAAATAGCGGCATGGTCTGGTATTTAAGAATTATTTGATAAAAGAAAAAAATATGCTTTTTATTATTTTATTAAATATTTAACCTATTTTTTCATAACAAAGTATACTTCCGTCATAAGAACATATTATCTAGAGGAAAAGTTGTTAATGTTTTAACCACATATACTTCTCATATTTTTAGGCAAAAAGATTTATTAAAAGGCATAAAGAGTGCTTATTTTTATTATTCAACAAATTTTTGGTGAAAAAAGCATGATATTACTTCCTTTTCAGACTGATTCCATTCTATGGTGACGTATTCACGAATATTTTTTCTAAAATTATTAATTTTCTAAAGAACATTGGTGCATCTATTCATACATTTCTCTTGCAGAAAAAGAGGCCAATAAAGAGTAGCGTAATTTAAATAAAAGTTAATAACTAATTAAATATTAACTTCTATTTTTAGCTTGTACAATTAATGAAAAGAGTATTTTTTGACGCAATTTTTCATTAATAAGGTGAAACTGCCCGATTTTTTAATTAAAAGATATTAAGAAATAACTAGTACTTTTGCTCTCCTGTAAAATTTACTTTTTACACTTATGCTTTTGTTCTTCTCAAAGTACGATATATAGAACATCTCCGAACTATCACACAGGAGTGTTGGCCGCTCCCCGGGCAGAACACATTGCCCGGCGGGAGATTTCCCTTTTCCTTCCACGACCACAGTGGTGACCCCGCCGTGATTTGAACACGTAACCAACAACCTTCGGAAACTACAACTTTTCAAGCCTTCATTATTCTCAAGAACCCCTACCATTCACTACTGAGAATCGTCTTCTGCAGTCTTCAGTTCCTGCAACCCAGTCCAACTTGTCTTCATCTCGACTCCCTGCAGATTTATAAGGCAAACTTCTGGCACTTGCTCCGGCACATCGTCCTCACCGGCATCACTTGCCAGTGCGTAGTACGGCATGCATTACACATCGGCATATCATTCGCACCGGTGTCACTTGTCCTTACGCACACAGCTTGCATTCCCCACCGGCATTAAAAGGACACACCGCCAATCGGACTGCACTATCGACCCCCGGTCTGAGCAGGGGGGTGATGTGGCGGCGAAAGAAAATATCACTCCTGTAAGAATACCAACATAAAATAGTAGCACAACATTGCGTATGGTGAAGGTAGAGTACTGGGGACCTTTTTTACCTGAAAGAGGCATTCTATCTAGTCGTCAGTAGTAACAAAGCATTTAATTTTGATTCTTAATTGAGCATATATGTGAATGTCTATGGGCCACAGTATCAACGTACCATCACGCTATGCAAGTAAGCAAGTGATGTTTTTTAACCGTTGCTTTGTTCACTTCTCTAACACAACTTCAAAAAAAGTTAGAGAGCCACTTTTATTGGACGTAATGTGGTTACGGCGGTTGCGTGTCCACAATAGGAAATTTTAACTAAAATTTTTTTAACCAAAGTTGTATTCCTCTTAAAAGACTTATTTAAGGTAGTCGAGAGTACAACGTTATTTAATCCAGTTTTCGTGTAAAATCCACGCCTGAGAGCCTGAGGTTTAAAATGAAAGCTTCACCCGGAAGCTCGACGGGCTACGAACCGACACGTTGTGCGTTTGAATTTTGCATATTGTATATACCGTTAAAACTTTTCATTTAAATAAATTAAATGTAATATAGAAATATATTATATTTTGTATATAGGCTTACCTGATGGTAAGTAATCACCGTCGCCCATAATTTGCAACATTGGAGGATTTACAGGTGCGTTGCTTACTTTTAAGGAGTAGTATCTTTTCTTGGTCGTAAAGTCGTATCGGTCCCGAAAAATCAGTAAAATACACAGTTAAGTAGGTAGTGTCGTGGAGTACCAACTATTGTTGGTGGTTGACTGAGATTAATGAAGTCTATTTGCAGTACAAAATTGTTTGGGTGATGAACAATATGGGCTTCTTCGAAAGCGTTCAACTACTTCTAATCTCATTTCGGCTGATAAATTCATCACTAAAGGCATGGAGCAGCGTGCACAGGTAGATGTAATTGACACAGATTACAGCAAGTGTTTTGATCGTAGGTATTAATCATCGTGTTCTTTTACAAAAGCTATTAGCTGCAGGAATACACGGTGGCTTGTATAGATGGTTTTGTTCGTATATAGAGAATCGGACACAGGCTGTGGTTTTTTGTGGTTGCATATATGTTTGGTGCTCAACTCCATCTGGTTACCCTTTCTAATACTGTAAGGCAGTGGCGATCGGGCTGGCACTGGCGCTGGCACACGCGGTAATAAAAATGTAATTAAACGCTATTTCTTATAAGAACCTATTTCATTTCTATCACACTACTATACTGTAGTAGATATTGACCTACTTTCTACTCGTTCGAAAACTGTAAATAAGTGATGAACGGAGATTTTTTACTCACAGCCGCGACAGGCATGACTCAAGTTGCAAGCTTCTTGGTCTCATGGTAAGTTAATCTATGCATTTTTTGTTATTGTCTTTTTAAATAGTTAAAAAATCCCTGGATTATTTTACATTTGTATAAAGCTGGATGAAAGTAATATATAGAGGCTTGTCTGTAAGCTTTACTAAAATGAATATATATATATATATAGGGTTACAGGTTAAGTCGACCTAGATCTTTAGGGG